GCCTGGTTGCAGGCGGAGGTAGGGTGTGGGGGTGGGGTGCGCTGGGCGCAAGGACGAACAATGAAAACAATAGAGCGAACAAGAGCAATAACAATAAACGATAGATATTTACCGCAGCAGGGGAGCAGCCAGGAGTTTGGTCCTTCGGGGAGGAAGTAGAGGCTGCAGCCGAACCCTTGAGTCCTGGCCCATACTCCAGGGGCTGTTGCCGTCCCTCTTCCGCCCCCGTGTCCTTGCCGGGGGGAGACAATAACAAACCAATTACAGTTAGATTGGCCGCATATTAAAAATCGAATGAGAAACACATCTGTCGCTGTTGTGTCTGGAAAACGGAGACTGGGAAGGGCATTGGGAACCCCCCTCTTGAGCCCGAGCACCCCTGCAGACTGAACCCCCCTCTCCCAGGGACCCTTGGGCGGGTGCACGGTAAGAAATGGGGGAAATGAAAGCGAATTAAATTGGGGTTTAATATGAATTGGAAAGGTATTTAAGATATACTAGGTTTTAGGTTGAATTTATTTACTTAATATGGTTTTTTACTTTAAAAATTTAATTTATTTTATTATAACATCGTTTTTGTATATTAATTTTCAATAATCTAAGATTTTTACAATGCTTTAAAATTATTTATTGTTTTTTAAATATTTTCATAAAGTTTTTTTTCTAGTAAACTAACGTCATAAATATTTTAAATATATTTTAAATTATTGAAACTGCTTTTAAAAGTAAAAAATATTTTTAAAATATTTTTAATGGAATTTAACTATAATAATCTTGCAATTTGAAGTTTAAATTATTATCAAAATTTATTTAAAATAAATCTCATAATTTATTTAAACTTAAAAAAAGTAAGATTATGCTAATTAAATTCTGTTAAAAAATATTTTAAATATATTTTTCATTTTTTAAAGCATTTTCAATTATAAAAAATATATTTAAAATATTGTTAACTTACTCCAACTAGTATTCTTAATCCTGCCAAACCGCATTCTTTTTTTTTTCTCAGTGCATAGCTCTCCCCTTGGTGCCTTTCCTTCCTCTCCTTCTTTTTATAAACTTTTGTTTTCTTTCTCTTTTTTTTTTATTTTTTTGGCAACTGTTTCAAAAAAATTGTTATAAGCAAAAAAGCGGCGGGGTTGCCAAATGCTTAAAGGGGCCACTGCCTGAGGGGGCGTGGCACCCAGCAGGGGCGATCAGGGTTCTTTTTTTTTTTGTTCTCCCTTTTTTTTGTTCTGTGCGGAAAAAGCAAACTACAAATAAAATATGATTATGAAATGATTATTATAATTATGCTGGCATCTTCACAGATGTTGTTGCCGTTAACTGTGACCACGCCCCCGCACACACACACACACACACACACACCCCCACCCCCACCCTTAACCCGCCTTCGTCCTCCCGGGACATCCCCTGGCGCTCTTCCAGGGGGGAAACCCAAGCGAGCTGGTTAATAATAAGCTGAAATTAGGGCGTGCTGGGCAGGTCGCCTCTTTCCTCTATATGCTCAGCCAGAGGACCTTTGCACTGAGAGAAAATAACGCTAAATAAAAGGGTTCCCCCCTTTTATACCTTTTGAACTATGGCTAAAAAATAATACAAACCCAAGTAAATTCTAATAATTAATTCCTCTTTTTTTTAAATATTTTTATTATTAATATTAAAGCAAAACTTAAATTTTTTTCAGTGCTTTCAAAGCTTCTTATTTACTTTTTGTGCCAAAAACGAGGCCGAACCACAAAGAAAGAGATCACCAAAAACCAGCACCTTAGATTCCCACATATTTTCGTTTATATTTTTGTCCCAAAAGGTGTGTGGTGTGTGGTGTATGTGTGTGTGTAGGCGGGGGCGTGGCCTGCATGTGTGTGTGTGTGTGTGCCTTTGTGTCCTTATTATTAGCAGAGGAGGCGTTGAAAATCCTCTTAAGGTAAACTGTGCATTATTAATGAAGTGCAGGGACTCGACGAAAGCACGGAACCAAAAACAGCGAAAGGGAAATTCAAAAGGGATGCAGGGGGTTGGGGGTAGAGGGTAGAGGGAGGGGGGTTCAGGGGGAGTTGTCCTGCCAGAGTTTTGTTTGGGTTTTCACTTTTGTTTATCGGGGTCATGGGTTAAAAACAACAGCATCATAGATGGAGAGCTTAATGTCAATAATTTGATGGCAATTCAAGCGATAATTTTAGGCTAAAGTTTGAGCTAGAATTTGGGCTAAAATTGGGGCAGAATTTGGGTACAATTTGGCCTAAAATTGGGGTAGAATTTGGGCTTAAATTTTGGCTAAAATTAGGTCTAAAATTGGGGTAGAATTTGGGTAGAATTGGGGCTAAAATTTTGTTTAGAATTTGGGCTAAAATTTGGGCCAGCATTTAAGCTAAATTGAGGCTAAAATTTAACCTTAAATTTACGGTAGAATTCGGGCTAAAATTTGGCTTAAATTTTGGGCTAAAATTTGTGCTAGAATTTGATGACTCTCTTGGCAAATTTAACATTCTGAAGGCTGTTTTTTGTATATTAAATATAGATATATATTTGCGAATTTATTTAGCTGTTTTCAGCTTATTTATTTCATTTTTAAAAGTAATCTCTAACTAGTTTTATTTACTTAAATTAAATTGAGACGAAGATAGCTGATTTTCCTTAGTATTTTTATAATGTATTTATATATTTTTCTTAACAGTATTAGTTTTTTGATAACAAAACTCTTTATATTTGTTTAAAAACTACTTTTTTAGAATTTTTGAGTGTTATAATTCATTATTATAATTATTTTTTTGTTATTAGAATTGTAAGTGTAAGTTAAAAATTATTTAAAATTTATTTAAGGTGTTTTTAAAGTGCTGATTTCTACAGCTTTCTACAGTTTCCATGCCTCTTAATTACTCTCTAAGAGATACTTGGATTTTTATGGCTTAATAATATTATTTTAAGGTTTGTTAATTATTTTTAGGAGTATAAGTTTACAAATTATAATAAATACAATCGAAAGAAGTGTGGCAGCTACTCGTTTTTAAAGAAATTACAGGTTATTCTAATTTTAGTCACTCAAATACTTTAGTAAGTTAATTTCCTAATTTAAAAATTATATTATTATCTTTATATATAATTTTTAACATTCTTGATCAGCACAGAAATGCTTTTCGGAATGAATTAATGCTATTTTCAAGCTTTTGAATTCCCCCTAAAAATCATTATTTTATGCTCCCTGAAAGTTACTCCTTTTTCCTTGGACAAACCTCCTCTCCTTTCCTTCTCCCCTCTGCCAGCTAATCGAATTAATTGCTTAGATTCAGTGAGGCTTATAGCCACCTAATCAGATGAGGGGTCTGCAGATGAGAATTTATTCCTGGCCGCATCGCAATCTGGTTATAATCTCTCGCTGATTACAATGGTCACCGGCTTTGCTCTTTTTTTTTTTTTTTTTTTTCAGGGGAACTGAAGTGCGAGATTGGATTTCTCTAACCACTCTCTCTCTCTCTCTCTCTTTCTCTATGGGTAATCCCCCGCAAAATTCTAGAACAAGCTCAGTCATCCGAGATTTTTTGGAAAAGGCAGAAGAAGCAAGCCAATAATTCACCTGCTCAACTCGCCGCAGCTCGTGTCCGTTTTTGGCCACTGTTTAATATTATAAGTAATTCGCCTTTTCTGCCTCACCTGCCTCCTCCTGGCTCCTTGCTCCTTGCTCCTGTTCCAGGTGCCGTGTGCCTCCAGGGGGAAGGTAGGGAGGCAGGGCAGAGTTTTCGCCGCCTGCCTTGTGATGTGGAAACGATGCGCATAAAATCAGCGGCGCGTATGGCAGGAAAGACGAAGAGGAGTAGGAGGAGAAGAGGGTGGAAGGAGGAGGGAGACAGGAGGAGGTAGCAAGGAGGAGGTAGGAGAGAGGAGGTAGCCAGGAGGAGGTAGTAAAGAGAAGGGAGGCGGAGAGTAGGAAAGCAGGAGGTTGTCGACACCAAAGCCACCTGGCAAGAAGGTTTTCCACACGGAAAAAAAACTAGGGAGCAAAATGAAAAGGTTTCGTTGGAAAATAGTATAAGTTTTTCCATCTTTATTTGCTATAATTTCATTTATTCATTTATATATTTTCTCTTAACTATTTTTCTCAATTTTCTTTCCCCACAAACAGCTCTTCCTTAAGCCAGAATCTAAAGGATTCTTCTACACCCCCTTTTCGGGCAGTGCTTTCCTCAGTTCGCCTGTCTTTCGTATCAATCAAAACAACGCGAATGAAGGAAGGCCTCAACTGGCAGACGGAAACTCGAATGGACGGATGGAAGGACATGGAACGATGGACAGACTGACGGACGGACTGACGGACCTAAGCCAAAGATTTGACATGGATCAGTAATCTAATGCCAGATTACGTATACGCATGGCGGGACTCGCAAACTTTGGTCTCGGCCTGTGCCTTAGCCTCTGCCTGTTCTCCTTCTGGTGCTGCTGCTCCTGCTGCTCCCCAACCTCCTGTCTCTCCTCCAGCGCCTCCTCCTCCTGCTCTTCCTCATCCTCCTCCTGCTCCTTCTCATCCTGTCTGTCTGCGACTGTGTGGCTACGTGTCTGTGTGCAAGTCACACGGATGCCACGCCCCCGAGCCTGCCTCCCCTGCTCCTTTCCCACAACCCAAACCAAAACCAAAACCAAAACCGAACCCGAACTGAACTGAACTATAGCGAACCCAGAGCCGGCATGAATGAATGGATGAATGAGCTCAGCCCGGCTCAGCACAGCTCCGAGGAAGTCCCAGGGAGCTGGGAGCTGGGAACTAGCAGCCAGGAGATGGGAAGCCCAAAAGATGAGAGCCTGGGAAAGGCGTGAGGCAAGCACACAGACAAGGACACTGCGAGGAATTTTTAAGAGGTATATTCCGGTTATATTTTTGATTATTTAAAGAGATTTTACTACTTATTATTTATTTATTTTATTTGTTAACAATTATTTATTATTTTTAATTACTATTAATTATTATTTATTATTTATTCACTATCATTTTCTCTCAGTGTCTGCCTAACCATGGCCCTTTCTGTCAGTTTGTCAGCCTGTGCAGCCAGTCGAGAGTTTATATCGATGATGACTGCGCTGATATAACGTTGGAAGCCAGCTCTTGTGGGGCTGGACGTGGAGGAGCCTCCTCATCGCTCGCCGGGATGTCTTCTCGGTCTGCCTGCCTGCCTGCCCCGAGTCTCAGTCCGAATCCGAATCCATATCTGAGGGCTTGCTGCCAGATACGCCGCACAGATACAGCCAAAGAGGAGCAGACCTCTTCATTGGCCTTTTCGGTAAGTTTTATGCTTGTTTCAGCCCGATCTCCGTTACCTTCCGCAGGGGTCACGGGGGGTCACTGCAGAGAGGCTCTCTCGTCGGCCTTTGAGTTTGTTTCAAAATAAATGCCGAAACCCTAAACCCAACTAGTCCAAAGTAAAGGTATTTCAAATATATTTATTTTTCAGTGATCGGTGAGACCGCTCAAAGCGTTTCTCATCAGCAAATGGTAGCTGGACACCAACTAGTCCAAGTCCAAGTCCAAGTGGCCGGCGGAGCGTAACGAACGAGCTCCGGGTGTCGGTGTCCCCCACATTTCCTGCGCTCTTTGATGGGGTTTCCAGCAGCCTACAAAAAAATAAGGTACGATGGGTGGAAAATTGAATAATGTAATAAGAAAATAATATTTAAAAAAATAAGAAAAATACAATTTTATTTTAATTTTATTTTTCTTATATTTTTATATACCTATATATTTAATTATTTTTAAATATTATTTTCTTATTATATTTTATAGAAATTTTATTTATATTTTAATAAATTTAATCTTAAATACTTATATGCATTTTCCAAATAAAAAAAAAAAATAATAAATAATGTAATATAATTTTACCCTTTTAAATTCTACTTTTAAATACCACAAATTAAAGACATTTATTATTTTCAACTTAAAATTACGCCAAACTTGATCTTTAAATATTTGTTAAAAATAAACAAGCTTAAAAATATTTATAATTTTTAAAGAAATAAGAAAGCTTTGCGTTTCTGTAACCATAAATAATAATAAATTGGCCTTTGCCTTTCCCTTTCGCTGTTTTTCAGCTTAAATTAATTTTAAAAATTAAAAAAAAAACACTTATATCTTCATTTTCATTTCATTTATTCCAAAGCTCTTCAATACGAAACATCCTTCGCCTGCCTGTTCCACGGTGCCCGTAGATCTGGCTCCCTTCCAGTTCGATAAGGACCAACAAAGAGGAACGACGAGCCTCCAGTGAGAGGTCCTGCCTGTCTGCCTGTCTGCGTGTCAGGCGTCCTCCGTCCGCCCGGAGATGTGCACAGAGATAGGCCGACGTTGATGGAAGGACAGCCGATGGTATGGCTGCCAGAGCGTGGCAACCACCAATGTGACCTGCCAGAAAAAACCCCCCAAAAATCGCACCCAAAAATCCCCCTCGCTTGCCACGCCCACAGGCAGCAACGATACCAGAATTTATACGAATGTATTGAAATATTCTATTTATTTATGTATATGTGTGTGTGCTTATGGTAAACAAGTGGATATGTACACCGAAAAAAATATGTATACCATTTTTGGGTAAAATGGAATTTTCAATGGATTTAATTTAACTCAAAAAGCGTTTTTGTATTAGTTTCTATAATGTTCATAAATCTGCATTCTTTGTTTAATTTTAATATTTTTTAAAATAATTTTTTATGATCATTTTTTGAAAAACCAAAGTAAAATAAAAATTTTTATGGAAAAAATCGAATTTTCAAAATTGTTGTGTTATTTTATTTAAGGTTGGTTTGATGGAACACACAAAAATGAATCAATAAAAGATGGTGAAATCAATGTGCAATCGTTTGGGGAAAAATCGAATTATGTTGAAAGCAAAATCCAAATTTTAAAGTTTTTTTTCTTAATTGTAAACAATTTTTTCGGATTTTTTACAATTTTTCTAAATTTTTAAATTTTGTTTTCTAAATTTTTAAAATTTTTCTGAATTCTTAATTTTTTTTCTGAATTTTTAGCATTTTTTTCAGATTTATAATATTTTTTTTAGATTTTTTTTAGAATTTTTAAAAATTTTTTAAATATTTTAACTGCCAAATTTGAATTTGAATTTAACTGCCAATTTGAATTTGAATTTAACGACGATCAGTTTCAGTGTGCCCAGGTGCATTTGTAAAATATCACCTAAATTTGAATTCAAAAGGTTTGAGTCTCCGCTAACTTGCGCCGGCTCCTAAATGGTTTGAAACTTGGACTTTTTATAACAGTTTATACCAGTTTTCACTTGCTTGCTGCTGGTTTCTGTTCGCCTGTTATCCCAATTTGGGAAACGGCCAAATTGCATGGAAATATTCGGAAATTTGGATGGGCCTCTGTAGGGATGTTGTTGTAAAAAGGTTGTTGTTGCCATCAAGCTGTTGTTGTCGGCAACAAATAGGTATAAATGTATAAAATGAAATATAACAGTTTATACCAAATATTATTTTTGCCCAAAAGTTTTTATAACAGTTTATACCAGTTTTCAGTTGCTTGCTGCTGGTTTCTGTTCGCCTGTTACCCCAGTTTGGGAAGCGGCCAAATTGAATGAAAAATTTTGCTTGCTTGCATCAGTGATGCTCATCTGCATCAGTGATGCTCATCTGGCTATATTTCAATATTAGGGGGCAGTGATGCTCATGTGCATCAGTGATGCTCATCTAGCTATTTTTTTGCATTATTGGTAGAAAATGGCATCTTACTAGCTGCCAGTGATGCTCATCTAGCTATTTTTTTCATTATTGGTAGAAAATGGCATCTTATTAGCTGCCAGTGATGCGCATCTAGCTATTTTGCATTATTGGGACAAAATGGCATCTCACTAACTGCCAGTGATGCTCATCTAGCTATTTTGCATTATTGGGACAAAATGGCATCTCACTAACTGCCAGTGATGCTCAACTAGCTATTTTGCATTATTGGGACAAAATGGCATCTCACTAACTGCCAGTGATGCTCATCTAGCTATTTTGCATTATTGGGACAAAATGGCATCTCACTAACTGCCAGTGATGCGCATCTAGCTATTTTGCATTATTGGGACAAAATGGCATCTCACTAACTGCCAGTGATGCTCATCTAGCTATTTTGCATTATTGGGACAAAATGGCATCTCACTAACTGCCAGTGATGCGCATCTAGCTATTTTGCATTATTGGGACAAAATGGCATCTCACTAACTGCCAGTGATGCTCAACTAGCTATTTTGCATTATTGGGGCAAAATGGCATCGCACTAACTGCCAGTGATGCTCATCTAGATATTTTGCATTATTGGGACAAAATGGCATCTCACTAACTGCCAGTGATGCTCATCTAGCTATTTTGCATTATTGGGGCAAAATGGCATCGCACTAACTGCCAGTGATGCTCATCTAGATATTTTGCATTATTGGGACAAAATGGCATCTCACTAACTGCCAGTGATGCTCATCTAGCTATTTTGCATTATTGGGACAAAATGGCATCTCACTAACTGCCAGTGATGCGCATCTAGCTATTTTGCATTATTGGGACAAAATGGCATCTCACTAACTGCCAGTGATGCTCAACTAGCTATTTTGCATTATTGGGGCAAAATGGCATCGCACTAACTGCCAGTGATGCTCATCTAGATATTTTGCATTATTGGGACAAAATGGCATCTCACTAACTGCCAGTGATGCGCATCTAGCTATTTTGCATTATTGGGACAAAATGGCATCTCACTAACTGCCAGTGATGCTCATCTAGCTATTTTGCATTATTGGGACAAAATGGCATCTCACTAACTGCCAGTGATGCTCAACTAGCTATTTTGCATTATTGGGACAAAATGGCATCTCACTAACTGCCAGTGATGCTCATCTAGCTATTTTGCATTATTGGGACAAAATGGCATCTCACTAACTGCCAGTGATGCGCATCTAGCTATTTTGCATTATTGGGACAAAATGGCATCTCACTAACTGCCAGTGATGCTCATCTAGCTATTTTGCATTATTGGGACAAAATGGCATCTCACTAACTGCCAGTGATGCGCATCTAGCTATTTTGCATTATTGGGACAAAATGGCATCTCACTAACTGCCAGTGATGCTCAACTAGCTATTTTGCATTATTGGGGCAAAATGGCATCGCACTAACTGCCAGTGATGCTCATCTAGATATTTTGCATTATTGGGACAAAATGGCATCTCACTAACTGCCAGTGATGCTCATCTAGCTATTTTGCATTATTGGGGCAAAATGGCATCGCACTAACTGCCAGTGATGCTCATCTAGATATTTTGCATTATTGGGACAAAATGGCATCTCACTAACTGCCAGTGATGCTCATCTAGCTATTTTGCATTATTGGGACAAAATGGCATCTCACTAACTGCCAGTGATGCGCATCTAGCTATTTTGCATTATTGGGACAAAATGGCATCTCACTAACTGCCAGTGATGCTCAACTAGCTATTTTGCATTATTGGGGCAAAATGGCATCGCACTAACTGCCAGTGATGCTCATCTAGCTATTTTGCAATAATTGATGTTTCTTTCATTGAGCCTGTTTAAATTATCCCACCCAAAAAAAATCGCATCCTCCTCATAACTCAAAAATAACACATTTTTTAAGGTTTATTATTTATTTCGGCTTTAAATAAAAAAAAAAGAAGAAAAGGTTAGGCATGTGGGAATGTCGGAGGTCGTTCCCAGTGGTTTCAGCTCGGTCTTGGTGGCACCCTCGTCGTGCTGCCCCAGCATCTGGTCCGCTTCTGCTCCTCCTCGTCCTGATCCTCCTTGCTAACGCTCTCTGTCTCGCTTTCAGTTCCTGGCAGCTTGCTGCAATTAAATTTAGAACAAGAAATAAAGCTAACTTTGGCCAGCCAAAGTTTGTATACCCTTCCAGGTAACAATTAAAATATATCATAACTAAGCCAAAAATGCATTAATTTCGATTCGGAAAGCAGTTTTGTGTTAGTTTTTATTAATTTAAAAAAACTGCATACCAAATTTAAAATTTTAAGAAATCAAAATTTTTTGCCATTTTTACTAATTTTAATGATGTAACCCCTTATCAAATTTCGCAAAAATGGCTCAAAATTTGATTTCCCTCAAACATGGCTTAAACGATTCTCCTTTCAATGCTGATCAAGAATATATATGGATTATGGGGTCGGAAATGACTCCTTCACTTAAAAAAATATTATTTTGTATTATAAAATCTGATTTTTTATATTGAAAAATATCATAACTCGGCCAAAAATGCATTAATTTTAAATCGGAAAACTGTTCTGTGTTAGTTTTTATGAGGTTAACAAATCTGCATACTTAGTTGGAAAAATAAATTTTGGTCAATTTTTGCGAATTTTAATGATGTAACCCCTTATCAAATTTCCCAAAAATGGCTCAAAATTTGATTTCCTCCAAACATGGCTTAAACGATTCGTATTTTAATGCTGATCAAGAATATATATGGTTTATGGGGTCGAAAATGATTCCTTCACTTAGAAAAATATTATTTTGTATTATAAAAACGGATTTTTTATATTAAAAAACTTCTTGATTTTTTTTTTTAAATTAAAAATGTCACAATTCGGCCAAAAGAGCATTAATTTTAAATCGGAAAACTGTTCTGTGCAAGATTTTCTACAGTTAATAAATCTGCATACTTCATTTAAAAATTTTGAAAATTTAATTTTTTATCAAAATCAAAAATTTTAATGATGTAACCCCTTATAAAATTTTGCAAAAATGGCAAAAAAATCGATTTCTTCCTCGCATATCTAGAAAGATTCCCCTGTTGATGCTGATCAAGAATATATATACTTTATAGGGTCGAAAACGTCTCCTTCACTGCGTTGCAAACTTCTGACTGAAATTATAATACCCTGCAAGGGCATAAAAAAAGGGAGCGATTTATTTTGATAATTTTTGGGACATTTTTTTTTCACAGGTTCATAGCTCAGCCAAAAATGCATGAAATTCAATTCGGAAAGCTGTTTTGAGTTCGTTTTTCTTAGCTTAACAAAGCTGCTTACTCAGTTTTACTGAAATTAGATTTTTTTGATTATTTTCAAAGGTTCATAGCTCATAATTATAGGAAAGTAAGGAACCCTTGCCTCCCTTCGGACTGCTCAGTTTTGGTGTCAATGGAGCTGTTTGAATCTTGTTCTTTGCTGGAAGTATTCAACCCCTTCCCCGTGTCCTTTTTGTATTCTTTT